CACGACTGGCCTGTCTCTAGAAGCCGCCTCGAGAAGCCGGGGTCGTCAGCAGCGTCCCCTCTCGGAGCAGATCCATCTCTGCTCCCGGCCTCCCGGGCGCACGGCTTCCTCGGGGCTCCTCCCACCGCCAGCCAGCGAGCGAGCCGGGGACCAGTGACAGAAGGGCTCCTTTCACCGGAGCTGGGGAGGGGAGAGGGAGGGGAAACGGGCCGTAATTAAAGAGGCAACACTTGGAAAAGGAGATCTTTGCAAAACGGAGGGGGCGGGGGGCTCTGTTCTTTCTTTTTCTTTTTTTTTCTCTCCCCTTAAATAGAGGGAAATTCAGCGTTTGTCCCCATTAATGACCAAAAGGCATCTCGAACAGCTAGTGGAGCTGTGACTTTTTTGCCCACACGATAGAATGCTGTTTAATGGGCGTGAAGTTAAGAATGACTACATGCATGTGCACGCAGTGAAATGGGCACGCCTGCCCCGTGCTCAGAGGACTGGAAACTGGGCTGGGGGGGGTGAGGGGGGAGGAAAGCTGCATCTTCCTCCGGGAAGGAGCTGGCCAATGTGTGCAGGGAGCCTCAGAGTTGGGGAAGACACAAGCATGCTTTGCATTTTTTGAGACTTTCGAGGTGGGGGGGGGGTGTAGGTCATAAAACCTGAAGGGTGGACCTTAGCGTGCTCTGTGCTTCTCCTAGAAAACAAACAAAATAAAGGAACTAGAGGGAAGCCAGGTGGATTTGTGGCATGTGCCTGTTTATTACCATCCTGACTTGTGTGTTTCCTACAAGGGTAGGGGAGCAGCCAGTCTTTGCATTTGCAGCTTCTCCTCTAACGAGCATTCCAACACTCTGAGAGTGTCTTTTCTCCAAGAGGTGCTGTGAATCCTACACCGAAGGAGAGGCCAAGGTCACAGGCAGCTGCCTCTTAAGAACCTTTAGGGCTTTTACCTATCATGAAACCCACATTCAAGTCAAACTCGATTTCTGCCAGGATGTCAAAGTGAATGTATCTAGGTCTATTCATTTGATAGACATTTGCATGTGCCTGGGATAAGCAGGGCGTTGGGGGAAATAAAATCGTAGGCACAGACCATGCCTTCAAGGAGCTCGTCATTTAGTGTGCAAGTACGGTATACGCATAAGATGCAAACTCTAAGGACAGTTACAAACAGTGTATAAAATATGCAGTATTTTATGAGTAAATGAGTAAAAAGAGGAAAATGAAAGATGCTTTCTCCGTTTGTGCCTTTAAATTATAAAATCAATCATCACTTTCTTTAGTCACTGGACCTTGGAGAGAGGTCTTTGGGGAAACCTTAGCCTCTCTTGAATCAGTATTACATACTTTGGTAACTTTGCTGACTCCAAGGCACATTCCAACTCCACATATCCATGTGGATGTATCCCTTGGCATTTAGGAACGAGAAAGAGAGAAGTGGGGGGCACCCGGGAAAGGGTGTGCTGGCAGGAGCTGACATCTGGTGGCTCACATTGAAGACCTACAAATTAGTAGGTGTCTGCTGTGTTGACTTTTCTATTCTAAACGTAATAGTTTATTTAACTGCATCCCTTAGAGGCTGTTAAACATATCAAGTGGCAATTTGTAAGCAAACTTTTGGGGGATCAAAAGAAACACAGACCAAGGGAAACTAAGAGGATCCAATATAGGCACTTCACCCACCAAATTAGCAAACAAATTTCAGGAGCAGTGTCTGCATAGCCTTAGCCCACTGACTCGTTATGGGCCATGCAATGCAATGGACCCCAAGAGGCAAATCAGAAACACATGCAAAAGAGGAACAAGAATCTTAGGCAACACACACCAAGTAGCATATTAGGAGTAAAACTATGGCCTGTGCAGTGCTGCAACTTTAGTGGTCGCTGCCATTAATTCTAAAGGGGTGGGGAGAAATTTAAGATCGGGGTGCAATTCCTAAGGCCAAGCCTTACAGTGAATGAGACTAACAATATAGACTGTGGTTTGTATCCTACAAAGCAATATTTGATGTTTTAACTAACATTTATCCTTTAAGCTGTTGTTTAATTTTGGTTGCTAATTTCTAAGTGGCCTGGGGCCGAGATTTGCTTAATTCAGCTCCCAAGGAAAATATTACAAAACTAGTGTTCCAAGGCCAGTCAACTGTGCGATACACGAAAATCAGGTCCACAGAGGGCATGTGTGCACCCCACATGCTCACTCTTGGACAGGAGATGTTTGGTGGGGGTTCCAGGTGGGAAGGACCCTGTCTCACTCTCTCACTGCTCCCTGAGATTGGCCTCCGGACCCCCAGCCAGCTGAGCCTGTTTCCTTCCTCACCCTTTCCACCCCTCCCTGCAGCCTCCGGTCTCCTGGCTTAAAGGTAAAAGCTTGGATTAAGTGATGAGCTGCCTGGCTCTAAAAGGACCAGAAAAACCACGGCAATCTTTGGCAGCCACCACGTGGGGCAGAGAGAACAACAGCGGTAACTGCAGGACCCGCAGCCGGCGGGCCCTGGCGCCAGCCCCGACGGTGGCCCCGCCATCTCCGCCCGCCAGGCGGCGGGTCCTGGCCTCACCTCCTCCGGGGGCTTGGCTGACCTCCTGGCCTGCAAGGTGCCTGGGCGCTGTGGCCGGTGCCCAGGGAGGTGGGAGGCGAGAGGAAGGGAAGGCTCCACCTGATGGAGGAGAGCAGAGAGTGTCACAGCCGGGAGCGTGTGGGGAGACCTTAGGGGAGAGGAGGGGAGGGATAGGAGCGAAGGGCAAGGGAGGGGGCAGGAGGGAAAGGGAGGGCAGTGGGGAGGAGCGGAGAGGAGGGGAGTCCGCCACCCTTGGAGGGAACATCAGTGTCCGCAGCAGGGCCCAGGGCACCGGGTCTCTGGGCACCTCCGTGAAGGTGGCAGCCCTAAAGAGACAGTAGAAAACCAACAGGCAACGTGGAAAACCTCCCCAATTCTTGTTCTCTGAACATCCAGGCTCCAAGTCTCTGCGGCGCCCACCAGGCAAGTGGGGTCCCTCACCAGCAGGTGGCATTCTCTCCAGCATTTCTCCGGATTGTAGCCCCGGAGGCTGCATTTATCAGTCCCCAGCCCCCTTCTCCAGGCGGCTGTGCCAAGTGCTGTGTCCTTTGAACCCTCCCATCCCCGCCACGGAGAGCTCCATCGCCAAGGGAGTGAGGCTGGCTCCAGACTCTGCTGCTCACTGGCCAAGAAGTTTCACAGGGCAAGTCTGCAACCGACAGCTTCCAGGCCCTGCTCTCCTGGCAGCACGCTCACCCCCAAAACTTTCTGAGGTCTGGGACAGAGAGTGAGGCTTGGGGTTCCGGGGCCCTGAGCAGGCCAGGGTTCACATAGACTATGCAGACCCCGCTCACCACTACTTTCCAGTGACCTTCCTTTGGGCTGCTTGTCCTCTGTGGGTAACATTTATTATTCCTCTGATTTGTGTAAAGGCCTGTTTGGGGTACTTAATCAAGACATGTGGAATGAATACATAAATTCCTGCTTTTAGAAAGTTTGTCCTTTGGTTGGGGAGACATATTCACAGGTGTATACATGGGGAAAAATTATGAAACATCTCATTGGCTTTTTAATACGACAAAAATTGCCCCGGAGGTCATCTGTCATGCTGAATCCTTTCTCCTTGGATCCTTCCCCACCCACTTGCCTGTGGCCCTGCAGGAAGGTCTGAGATGCACACAGGCCCAGCCTCCATCCAGGATTCTGCTGGCTTGGCCTCCTTTCTCTCCTGCAAGGCTCGAATGGCTTCCCCCCTCCCTACCCCCACTGTCTTCCTGTGCTCACAAGGTACCCTTACCACAAACACCCAGAGGGGAGGCTGTTTTATGCCCTAGGCAGTCATCACGAGTGGAGAATTTCCTGTTTAATGCCTCTTCACAGTACCTGTTGCACAGATACATTATAAACCACATTTCCTCTCCTTTTTTTAATATATCCTGCCAGTGCTGGTTCAAACCTCCATGTCCAGGGATTTAAACACATTTGGAACAGGCCCCTCCTGGGAGTTCAGTTTACCTCACTCTCCGTCCTGGAGAAGTTAATAAGGGCTTGAAGCTATGAATAAGTCCCAAGACCAGATGGCCATCAGAGGTCCTCCTCTGTAGCAGCCCTCCTGACCTAGGCAGCCGCAGTCTT